TGAAGCCACTGGAACAAAGCTGGAGTTACAGCAGAAAAGAGCTCTGCATGTATTCAGATGTGAGCCATTTGTTGCCCTTTTACATCTGCTGAATAATGCTCCCAGAGGGGTGGCTGTAAATGCTGGAGGCAATTTCACCTTTTATGTCTCCAGATCTTACATCCACACAAGACACCAAACCATGATGACACAGTGTTGGCGTCCACTGTGAGCTATATACAAGGAGGAAAGGGGACAACAATTTTACCATTTGTCATTACATGACTTTTTGTGGAGACACACAGAGTTGGATAAAACTGAGCCGAACCTAAAACAGCATGTCTGAAGGAAATGGATGAGGCCTTAGGGGTCGTTAGCCGCGCTTAACTGTGGAGCAGCTGTGGATTTAGACATGTTTTTAAGAGGAGAGGAAAACACTTTTGGAGGAGACACTGTGTGATTGGTCATTTAAAGACCACTATTTAGAGTGAACACGTTTAAGGACAGGTAAATACTGAGTAGTGTTGTGTTGTAGTGTTTGGTACAGACACCTGTAGAGATTGATGAGGCAGGAATTAAAACTGTATTAAAGATTACTTACTAAGAATGAAAACCGTGTTGATGCTTTTAAGCAGTATTTCCATTGGTCTATTCACAATCAGATATGCTGCTGTGTGAAACAAGTACTTAAAATACATCTGAAGTTGATACAAAGTGAAGAAAATTTAGCCTTTTGTTAGCATGAGCCACCGTAGCTGCCCCTGCTCCTCTAGGCTGGATAAGAGATTGAAGATACAGATTAGATCGTTCTGCAGTCAGGTGACAAACAAATTAGATCGTTCTGCAGTCAGGTGACAAAACCAGGAGACATCGTATTGGTCCCACATTTATTGCATTGATACATACTGCAACATTGGGTATCTGGTACTGCTACCAGTCTGATACTCTCGTTTCTATTTTACTAATTGTCCATACTATAATAACACTCATCAGAAAAACACCAGGTTCAAACTGTGCTCCAAATACTTTGCTCCTAACTTGACTTGAAGAAGTAAAGTAAATATATATAAAACTGCTGCTGTGTTACATTTCAACTTTGTACTCACTTACTGCAGCTTCAAACAGCATTTTTCGCTCGGTCAGACAGACTCAGCTGTATAATTCAAATATTCAAATAAAACATTTCAAGTGAAACTTTGTGCAAAGGTTTAAATCTGAGAAGAATAACAAATAAAATGGAATAAGAAGAGCCACGTGAAGTAAGAGACATCAAACTGCATTGTCTCAGTGTGACAGTATCACAGCAAAATATCAAAAATAGTCTTTTGGTGAGTTTTTGACTTATGGATTGGTTGGTTAAAAGTTTTGGCCCATAATGATATTGGATATTTATTAGTACTTAGCATTATGCAAAAATGTCACTTATTGTATACAGTATCAGTTGCTGATAGAAAGAATAATAAATACATCCCATCAGTTGTTGTTTGTTGTTCCATGTTTTGTTACTGCTCTTTTCCACATTAGTGCATACTGTTGGAGCTCGATTATTTATAAACATACATTGTATTCTGTTAGGGAAGAAATTCATTTTATTATCTACCAAGTAGCTGTGAGTAAATGTGTCCTTGAAGGAAACGGTGGCCTCAGAGTGAGAACTGAGGAGATGGACTAAAAAACGTTTTGAAGTATTGCAGATGCCGTGCAGGTTGTGCACTCGACGACTCTTGTGTCTTTGATTACACGAGGTAAGAAGGTTAGGCGTGTAAGTCAGAGGAGAAAGAAGTAGGACGCGTTCTTGCAGTTTGGGATCTGACTTTCTTTTAAGGGCATGTCTGGGGAACAGGGAACCTGCATTAGGGTCAATGGATTATTTGATTGGACTCAAGTAAATGCCTGAAGTTTTTTCAAATAAATAACAGGTGTCAGATGATGATGGCTGTGTGGCCTCGAGGGTCCATGTCCCGGGGGCCATTATTGGTCCTTGATCAGGTTTGGACTCGAACTATAAGGTCTGTGTATATACAACATACATATATATAACTGCACTCATTGTTGAGATACAGCACATAACCACAATTTATTGCACTAGTTCAGATTTGTATCTTTTTAATATTGTGCAGTACACAGTGTTTTGTAGAGTGGAAGTTCATATTTCAGTATTTGAACTTAAATCTATGACTCTTTTAACTTGCTAAAAGAGTCAAGTTTTAACTTAGCATTCGATGCACAAGTTGCAGTACAAAATAATTCCCTTGGCCCTGAACTTAAAATATGACTGTGTCAGTAACTTTGTCAGTAAGAAACCCTAGAACACAGTACCCAGCAGTGAGACAAGGGAACGGCTGGGGGGAAAACAAGGATAAAGACAGTAAATGAACATGGATTACTGGAGGAAAATGTTGTTTTAAGTTTAACAGAAACAGTCGACTGGACATGAATTATTAAAGAGCGCTTTAAAACAAATGTTCCTTTACCTTCCTGCTAAAAACAACACCCGAGGCTAACAGCTAACCTACTTACTTAACTACTTTTTTATTCATTTATTTATATTTTTCTTTACAAATCAGTTTGTTATATTAAATAGGAGAGACTTCAGCTTGAGTTTACTGTGTAAGATTATATCATATTCCATTTCCAATCATATGTACCTACGTAATAATAATAAAAAAGGCTGGCTTCACGCTGTTTCCTATTAGAAAAGAGTTTATTTTGTATACTCTGTACTCTGCTCACGTCCTGTCGAGGTTAAGGCTATTTTGAAAGAAATGCAACTCCTTTTGGCAGCTGTCAAAAGTGTAATAGTGAAAGTTAAGCCTGAGATATATGAAGGTGATGACTTTAGAGCTAGTGCATGTCAGGAAGATTGTTATTTGGGATGCAGCTCAGTCCTTGGTCTCTCCTCTACCTTTTGCTGCAGGGTGTGATGCTCAGTCCAGTAGTTACAGCAACTATTTTTTCCAGATTATGGCAAATATTATGTGAGAGGAGGTTGGTGAAATTAGCCATGGGCTCACGCTAATGTCAACAACTCCAAGAATAAAAAACAACAACAAAAAAAGCAGTTCAAATCAGTTCATAACTTCCGTTCCTGATTAATTTAAACTGCCATCAATGTCACAAAGGTGACAGAAGTGAAGAGTAACTGCACTGCAGAACAGCATGGGAGCCTAGAGTGCCCAGCACCGAGCATCAAGGGTCATTTAACTTAAGATGCCCATAAAACATGTGCTTCACTGAGGTTCAACTTCCTGTTAAATGAACCTTATCTAGAAAAAGACACCGTGCAAGGTTGTCAGACTGTACAGGAGGAGAAAGTGACGACGACGTGTGGGTCCAAAATCAGATAAGGTAGCAGCATATAATCCGTATTTCATGTGGCTCAATCCTCACTTCATTTCACCAGAATTTTCCAAAAACTTTGATAAAAGTCCAAGAACAATCAGTCAGGGTACTTTGTGTAAATGTTAGTCTGGACCCTCGGCCGTATGTGTTTAATTTAGATCCTGTTTGTCATCTCTCTGTGATGATTGTGGATTAACTTAAGGCCTGGGTAATTCATTTTTGTTTGTCTCCACTCAAAGATGTTACACAAACACTGCCTGTTCTCCCAGTCACTGAGCCAGGGCTCACACATGGACTCAGTCACAGTCGTGTTCATAAACATGCCTCTACAATCAGAATATAAATGAATCGAATTAACTATTAGAGAATTAATTTTATATCAATAGAGTCGCTGAATAACGAGAGTTCTAGTAAAAGGATGAAGGTGACCAGGCCCTGACCCAGTGGTCGGATGGTGTGATCACCTGGGTCAAGGTGTGAACGTGGGTTCGTACATTTGGCGTTTGTTAAAAATCCTTGTACGTTGTACTGAGACATCAGTAACATGAGGAACAGCATTGTTGTTCCATGTATTACTGTTCCCTCTCTTCTCTGGGTTCTAATGGTTTTGGTGAAAGCCCAATTAGGACGAGTCTTACAGTTAGCGCTCCCCTGACGGGTAATTGTTCCTTCACCTGAACCTCCTCCTGTGATAGACTGTGCTCAGCTCTGTGGCTCAGAGTCCTAATCCTCCAGTGGATGATGGGATCAAATAACACTGGTCACAGTATACACAGTATGTGTTTGGGAGTAAACGTGTGACTGTTGAAGATCTATTTTTTTCTTATTTTTTTAGCACAAATGATATACTGTAATGAAACAACTTTCATTTCGAGGTGTTTTTATGGTAGTCATAGTGAAAGTCTGTTTCCTGGAAACAATGTTAAAAAACAAAGTTGTTTCCCAATTACAAATCATCTTAACATCTCTGTTTTAAGTCTGTTTAAAAAACAAAGTTCTTTCCCAATTACAAATCATCTTAACATCTTAAATCAACATTAATACCTGACAAATGTGGAGTCCTGTTCTCACACACACACACACAGTACTGCAGTTTTCTCAACAGAATGAAGTGTCTCAGTTTGTGGTTTACTCAGACTTAATAATACTTTGTTGCTGCTCTGCTGTGTTCATTTTTATTTAATGAATACATTCCGCATGAAGAAGAGTTTGCTGTTGTTTCCTATTTTCTGAAGCGACTGGTTTAAAATAGGATTCTTTGATTACAGCACAGCCATCCAACTTCTTAAATACCCTGAACATTAAACATAAAAAAGAAAGAGAAAATTCAGTGTGAGTCTTTGCAACCCACACAGACTGCCACAGGAGGCGCCATTAGGTATGTTATTCCTCTGGGGCTTGAACCCAGAACCTTCTGTGTGTAAGGCAGATGTGATAATTGCTACATTTTATTTCCACTCAAAACAAAAAATCATAATTCAAAACAATAACAATATACATACAGGTAAATCAACCATTTTATTGTAAAATTCCACAGCTATGTGCAATTATTCTTTTTATGAAAATTATTTTTTCCAGTACATAGGGTAGAATATATTTTATGCTGACCCTTAACAGAAATGACCAGAGACCCTTTATATACACCCAATATTTCAATGTAAACACAAAGGAAACGACACATATGAAATCTGTTTATTTTCTTGATTACCTGTTGCTAAGTGTTGTAGTTACAGTATGCAGTGATTTTAATTCTGTTTGACAAAATACATAACAATAAAAATATCTGCATGTGCTCTTCACATAACGGTCTCCATCCACGGCCCACACACCCAAATAAAAACACTTTGTCAAAAATAAGTTGGATTCAGATCTACAGTATGTCAAAGCGAGCAAGGATGGAACAATGCTTCCATTCTGAACAGCGTCCCCAGACAAAGGCCTGATCTGCATGCACGCTTACCCAGGAAAAACCTCTTCCGTTTGCCTAAATACATATGCATTTACAGTAGAGCGCAGAAAACGTGAATATAATAAACAGATAATAGATCAACTTGAAAAACCATCATGAATAAAACATGTTTATATGTTTGTTCTCTGCAGAGTCTTTGCATGACATGCTTTGTGAATAGATATGCTCATGTAGAGAGTCAGGTCAGTTCTTCATAAGTTTCTTTTTTTTTTTCCTTCAAATACCGCCCCAGCATTTGAACAACTGTCCTGATGCTGTTTGATGCTTAAGTTGAAGAGAAACAAATTCATTTATTAACATGTGAAAACCAACGTCTGGATGGACGTGACTGTAGCAAACATTCAACTTTTGGACATTCTTCTTTTTTTTTTTCTTTGAGCATCTTTTCTATCGACTGAACATTTCAACAAGATGTAGTCGCTTCCTGGTGAATCTGTGAGCTACTACACACTGATGAGGCCCTGTACACTCTGCTATTGACAAGTTACAGACCCTACAGTTCGCATGTGTTCACATTTAAGACAGGCTGAGACTGAGAGGTGGCTGCTGGGAGCCACGACAGGAACACATGTAAACACAGAGAAGAAAAAGCTGCAGGGAACAGTGGCTCATGTGACAAATACTTTTATAATCACTGATGGTTAATTCATGACAGAAAATATTAGCGACCGGTATTTACTGATTTGGTTGAAGGGAAAGTCGTGGGAGTCAAAAACTGCCACTAAGACGTAAACATTTTCATCTTTATATATTTTTTTTGTAGTTGTTTTTTCTTTCTTGATATTATCAAAGGCTGTTACTCGAAAGCAACGCGTCACGTTGCACCTCACTAGCTGGACAGACGTAACAGTTCCACAGGCAGTTTGTGAGAGTAGTGTACATTGACCACAACATAGAAATCACAAGATAAATATATATTTCTTTAAAACTTCACTGACACGTCCAACAGAAACATACTTGGCAAAAAAGACAGTATTTCATGGTTCTTTAAAGGGGCGATGTAAACATGAAGTACACGTTTCAGAGAATAAATAGAACGTGGATAAATAAATAAACCAATAAATATCATAAATAAATAAATAAATAAACGCATACGTACACGTTACCCCTAAGTATTCTACATCAGTCCAGTATGATAAGATTAGTCTAGTATACTGTATGATCATAAACTCTAACTAGGCTGAAATTACAAAATATAATCCTTTTTACAAAACCTCAAAGGTGTGACAGATGTTTTTACTAATTTATATACAAAAAAACAACAAAAATGACTCTACCATTCATTCTTTATGAATTTACAAATGATATTTGACCACGGACTCCATTTGTTTCATGAGATAATGTGAATATTTACGCTGTGTAAAACAAGTTTGAATTTGGATTTGCTTGTCGTCGTACAGTAGGTGCTGTCGAGTTTGTCTTGTTGATGTTTCATTTCTGGAAATGAAATCGTAAGGATATGGGGAAAATTAAAGGAGGTTTCTATTTGTTACGGTGCAGAATAATGGCTGCAAAATAAATGTTTTCTCAACATTTAAAGCAAATACAAATGACATTTTTCAAATTTCGTTCCTACGTGATAACCAGCGGTGCCTGCGCGACAGTAGAAGATCATTAAGCATGTTTGTTCAGATTTAAATGTGCATGCAGTAGATGTGAAGCACAACATAATAGGAAAAATATATACAGTGTTTATACAATGGAGTGTTGTATCTAAACAGAATCACTGTTGTCTGACCACACACAAAGTTTTGGGGTGTAATTGTGCTAAAATGTCATCCAAAAAAAAAAAAAAAAAAAATTTCTAACACTGCTGCATTAAAGTGCTTTAGGTACTGAGTTCAATGTTGCCCGGTGACAGTTTGCTGATTGTTATATTTCTTTTACGTCTGAAATATTTACTTTCACTGATTAAACTGAAAATGCTTATTTGTTCCAAAGAATAATAAAAACCTTAAGACAACCCCCCCCCCCAAAAAAAAACAAACAAAATGACAACAAAAGTTGCAGTCAGTGTTGTACAAACACACCTCCAGACCCACAAACTGTCCACGGACGTCTAGGTAATAATAATAATAATGCTACAACATTTGCATGTCTGTTAAAGTTATCAAATATAATGATTAATATGTGAAGAGATTCTGAGCAGATCTTTAAAGGAAATTCCTTCAAACAAACTAAGTGCATCAGTCGGCCTCCTCCTCCGTTAAATGTCTTTCGCTGGCCCAGAGCATAGAGAATGTAATGAAGTGTTTGGTAAGGCTGGACACACGCAGGGTCTACAGATAGAGATAGGACACCCAGTAAACTAGGTTAAAGAGACCAAAAGCAGTTGGGAAGAAGATGCGGGCGTACGAGTCTATCTTTGCAACGCGGATGTGCAACCGTCCGTGCCGCCAGGCTCCGGAGCGACAGTCCTCGAAGCAGCAGAAGAAGCTGGTGCAGTCCTTCCCGTCCAGACACTCGTAGCCGTACTCCTCGTCTCGCTCCTGCATGTGTGTGGCGTTGTTCATTTGAATGGCGGTGGCCGAGCGTGGACGGATGTCAACCGTGGGTGTCTGCTTTTAACAGGACAAAATTATACAGTTAGCCTCAGAGACACAAAAACCAATGAGTTTCTATTAACACAGCAGGGCGCCTCTTTGAGCTACACTTATCTTTCTTACCTGGCTTTCAGACACTTTAAATGTCAAAACCAACAGGTCAGACCAAACTGAAACCAGCTGCAGTTGTATTTTCCATCATGTATACTATCAATCAATGTGTGTCCATCAAAACAATCTAATGTATGTTGACTTGAGAGTACACAAGTTTGAAGTACAGAAGTATTACTTGAACAAAGCCCAGAGAGAGTTTGCACCAAAAACATACACCGTAGCCCGGCCCAGAGAGAGTTTTCCATGGTAATAAAGTTAGCACCATCATCATCATCATCATTAGTAGTGTACTGAGGTCAAAGTCCAAATTACCATCAACATTTATCTATATAGTAAAATGAACAAATCCCACAAAGTCTCTACATCTTTAAGCCAAGTTTACTGTTTCCGCCTGATTTGTACTTTTTGGTTTTGCACCAAAAACATACACCGTAGCCCATCACTTCTTCACTGAATCTTTGTAGCTGAAAGAGCTTTCGGCTGCATCAAAATTTCTTTTTCAAGACTTTATTGTGTAGAGGAGAAGCTTTGCATCAATTTCTGCAGACAGGCCACCCACTTCTCTTAAATGGATTAGAAAAACAATAGAACTATGTTCTGTGCAAATCTCTGGAGTATTTCCCATGTTATTCTGACTTGAAAATTGAGAAAATTAATTAAAGATAGGCATTTATATTGCATTTTAAGGAAGTGAACCAACTTTCTGAAAATAGCGTTTGTTGGTTTTAATCAAAAATGTATAAAAGCTCTATTTCTAGTACGTGCTGAAAGTGGATTACAATGTATCCACAAGCCATGGAGGAGCTTTGAAACGTCTATAGCCTGGTATTTCTGTCACTGCATGGGCTGAAATAAACCTTCCTTTCAAACCGTGTGCACCACTGCAGGGCATGTGCCGTTGTATTTGTGAAGGCGTCTGAAATGGGACAGTGACGAGTGTGTGAACGTGATACTAAAAGGAGAAAATTAGCATTCAAATCGACAATATTCTCCAGGTTTTATCACACACTGCCATGTCACCTTTACAATAATTGGAATTCCGTCTGTTCGGCAGGTTAAAATTGCCTCCATACTGTCTTTTTAGTACAATGGGAAACTTCTTGACCTTGCTGATAAACAGGAGTAGAGCTAATGCATACTACTGAGTTCAAGAGATTAACAAATGTTAAGATGATGAAAATTGTTTGTAAAGCGACACATTTTTCCAGACTGCTGTGACTTTCATGCAGATACAAAAACACCTTCTGTCTTGTATCTGGTTCAGGTGCAACTTTCTGCAAAAATAGGTCTTAGCCTTTGCATATCAAAAAACATAACTAAATAGTTTCCAGTATCTTCCTCACGTCACGGTCCGTCTGCCTTTGAAAATGACACATGACCACATACAAAGCAACACACAAGTTAGTTTCAGCTTTTGCATCGTCGTTGTTGGACAGTTTGTTGAGTTGTTGAGGCAGACCAGGGTTACGGCTCAAATAAGAGGTCGGTCGCTCTGCAGTGCGGTGAAAGCTAAAGCAGAGGAAGCTGTAACAGCTTCCTGCCACACGGGCTGGTCAAGCTCAGTGGTGCTCAGTCAGTGTTAGCAAAAAAGGAAAAGGAAAGTGGCAAAGACAACGTTAACTGGCTGAACGTAGACAACCTCCCAGAGAAGACATGTTTGGAATCAAAGTGCATCTGACCCAGAAATAGATTATCGATGCTAACAATATTGACATGTGTACCGTGGCTCTCATCCAGCGCTCCCCTCTGGATGCTTTTTGAACATTTACAGATTAGCATGAGGTAATCCTCTGGACGGAACTCCAAATCTAATTAGACTTAAACAGTGCAGGGGTTGTCTATTTCAGTCTGTTAAGGCTCTGCTGACTCGGCAGAAAGCGTCAGGTTTGGAAGCCCAGCAAACACAGAGGTATAGATTTACTGGCACAAAAAAAGGGGGGGAAAGAAGAGGATGCTTTTGCAGCAGCTGCTGGATCACGGAGGTTGCAACAACAACAACAACAACAACAAAAAGTGAAACAGGACAGAGGGAGCCAGAAAGAATCCACACAGGGTCCAGGACTTTTCCATTATTCTGGACAGGAGAGGCTCAGGATGCTTCTTTAATTTTTTAAAAACTGTGAAAAATATATCTGGCTGGCTGCCTCCGCACTGTGCACTGCAGAGTGGCCATTTTTCTTTTTTCTTTACAGTCATCTCAGATGCCTAGTTAGTCGCTGTAGAGGACAGAGAGGAGAGGAAATCATAAGGACAGAGAAGAGAGAGGCTTCTGCTTTAGAACAGGCAGAAAGCAGAGAGTTGAGCTGGAGGCTCGAGGGGCCAAAATGCAGCAGACACATGCAGTCAGACACAGGCAATATACCTTTGAGGAAAAGAGCCGCAGGAGCTTTTGTCCAGACAGGAAACAAAGAATATGAAGAATTGAGAGAGAGGAAAAAAAACAACGACAAAAAAAAAAAAAAAAGAACAAATAAATAATGCAGAGAAACATCAATAAAGGACTAAAGGAGTTAACACAGAACTAAGGTGTAACAAGTTACAAGGACTTTAACTGTTAACTTTACATGAGAAAACATCTATAGTAGAGAAGCAGACGAAACACACAGGGGAGACGCATTAAGGAATATTTACGCATTTTTTAAGGTATATATTCTGTGATTCTTATCATTCTCGTCAGGAAATATCAAAAAACAAACATTGCACATGATTTAAATAATGACTTTATAAAGTTAGATCAAGAGTTTATAAGGTTTATAAAAAACGATTAATATACTGCTGATAATGATCATGAAACCATAAACTCTTAATTTGAAGACGTACACAAAATACACTTAAATCAACACACAAGCAAAAAATAAACCTTGGTTTTTCCATAACTTTTTTGTATTAGAATATATATATATATATTAATAAATGAATCAGGAGACTTTCCATTAAAGACGGCCAGTCTCTGCACGCGCTCACCTCGTCTACATCTTGGCAAGTCATGCAGAGAGCCCTGAAAACCACCGAGACGTCAAACTGGCATCACACCTTCCATCTCATTATTCATTTATTGGTACACGGGACATTTCAACAACCTCAGTTTCAGCGGGTGAAACTGCAGTGACCCACTTTCCCCCAAAAGTTGCAGTTCAGTCTTGTTCATCCAAGCACAGTAGACCCAGAGGATTAGGATCTAATATCTTTCAACTCTAGTGAATGCAGTCCAAAAACACGGCATGGGTTTCAAAGATGCTTCTCAGCTAACGAGAACCTTTCTTTGAAAAGAAGTTCTGCAAGATGATAAGTTGGACAAAAATAAATTCATAAAAATAAAACCTGTCTCACTGAGTAAACAAAGGGGGTTTGACTCAATAAAACTCAGGAATAGTGTGTCACTGTACCCAATTAGAAAATGAAGGAAAATAAAACTTTTTAGAAGTTTTTATAATTTTGGATATTTTTGTCTTGATATTTTTCTATAATAAAAATCCAAATAATTGGATTATTCACAGATAAAAACCTGCTGTTCCTGAGCGGTAACTGTACCTGACTTTATAACGCAACGATCTCCTGAGAGATTTTAGACTTGTGTCTGACCGTTTGAGTCATGTGACGTGGGTCTGCATCACAAATGAAGCAGATGTGTGTGGCAGATTATAAAAACGGTCGCAGCTATACATGATGTACACGCTGTCGAGACACACTGACGATTTGACTTTCATTTACGATGCTCGCAGGGAATTCTCTTTGTTTCATAAGGCTTTTCTTACAACAGCGGGTGATGGAAGAGAGTCATAAGACACTTGACCTTTCACCTTAATAAAAGACGAGGTGAACACAGGAAAAAAAGGAAAGAAAATCAAGTGAATCACACTCTGCAGGATTCAAGTCATTGGTCTTTGCAGCTGAATAATACAAAAGTGAAATACTTTTTTTGAAATAGATTTCTGACCAGTTCTTACCGGGTTTTTCTTTTTCTTGTCCTTTTTGGCACTGGGCTTCCTGTTGCTGACAAAGTAGTGCAGCGTGCCGTACTCTATGAGCGCGGCAAACACGAAGATGAAGCAGACTGAGACGAACAGGTCCATTGCAGTCACATAAGAGACTTTTGGAAGGGATTTCCTGGCAATGGTACTGAGTGTAGTCATGGTCAGGACAGTGGTGATCCCTGGTGAAGACGTCAGGGCAGAGCAAAGACAATTAGGACATTTCCAAATGTGCTCATATCTTCAATTACTTCTAGAAGACTAGCAGCAGAGATGCTAAGATCGGTGTCTGACATATTGCATGCTGCATTAACGATGGTTGTCAATGTCTAATGGCAGTGTCTTAATAGTGAGACAGCCCTGGGGACAGGGTGAGCAGCTGTTTTACTGTCCCTCTGATCCACATACTGTACTGGTTTACACTTAAAGAGCCACTGACCTCTTATTCTACTCATCCACCATCTGGTAACCCGCTACCCTTTTACTCACGCTTACTGTCTGCTTAATGAGGAAATGCATTCACGAACACTGTGAGACCAGCCACCAGCAGGATTACACAACCTCAATGTAAACAACCCACCAACCACACACACTGTTTCCGTCTTTAAATAGACTTCGCAGGTCTATTTATGAAGACGTCTGTCTACATATGAAGAGCACTGTACTGTGATTGAATTGTCATATTTCTAGGTCACGTTAACGCACTGACAACCACATCATTCCACTGCTTTTTAACTACCTGCCTGGCTGCATCTTCCTAATAACCTTTTGTGACTATTGTTACTAATTCTTGTTTTTCCCGACCACACGTATCGAGCTACAGATGTACAAGGAAACACATCAACCTATTTTTAGAGAGATTAATGACAGGCACTCTAATGACAATAGTAAGGAGGGATGAGTGTGTCTGCCTGCCAGGGTGGCTTTGCATTCTGTCCAGTTCTCTAATGATGACATCATATGGACTTGAGGTCAAGATTAAAAGCCTGTAACATCTGACCAAAACGCTGACTTCAGAACAAGGCACTTGTGGGTGAGTTTCAGAGGATGTCCACTGGAGTTCAAGGTTGAGTTCTATTCCCTGAAATCCTCACCGTGACCTTTTTTGTTAACTCGTGTCCTGTTTTGCATCAGGTGCAGTGGCCACCTGTGTTATTACTGTGCTGATGCTGCATCTATGCGTCTTCTCTGCTGCATGCACTACATAATTAATGCCTCATTAGAGCATCCAAGAAAACATATGTGCCAGGCGGGGTTTCTTTTAATCAAGATGCACTACTATTTCTCTGCAGCTGCCCAGTCTCCAAGGGTTAAAAGAAGAGAGAATGTATTTTAAAAAATGAGGGGGTGGAAAGAAGGACGGAAATAGCAAAAGAGAAAGATATCCACCCAGGGGCTGTTTAAAAATTTCAGAGCGTATATAAGCACGGAGAAACCTTCTTTATAAATATGTTTGTGTTGTGCTCATCTTAACTCAAGCTCAAGTAGATATGGAGCACAGATTAAAGAAAACATTTCAAGGAAGTTGTCTAGTTTGGCCATTTGTACCTAATGATGTACGAGCTGGTACTGCATCCTTGTTGATCCAGAATGAGACCCAGGAGAGGACAACAATTAGTGTGCATGGGATGTAGGTCTGGATGGTGAAGTAGCCCATCCTCCTGCTCAGGTCGAAGAAGACAGTCAGCACCACGTAGTCCCCTGGAGCAACAAACAACAGGACAACAAATAAGCACATTTGGTGAACTGATTCCCTCTGACTTGCTCGAGACATTTGTCGATCAGGAGAATTTTAGGTTATGTTCAGACTGAAGGTCGTGTTACTTAATTAAGGTTTTTTGGTTGCAGCCCTAAATTGACGTAAAGTCACATGCTGCATTCACAGGAGTAAATATGGATTCCACACACATCAGTGTGGTTGTCAATTTCGTTGTTCAATCCGTGGCTGTCAGTTTGATTGTTTCGTCATTATTTAGAGAGCTTCAGCTCTCCCAACAGATGGGGCTGTTGCAGATTGCTCTGGAAGAGTTTTTCCACCTAAGCAACAGCCTCTGGGTTTGGAAACCCATCTATGCCTTTGAAAACATTGGACACATTGGATACAGATTTAGGACCTCCCTTAAAAGTAGTTTGGATTTGAGAAAGAAAATCAGATGTGTGCTCCTTCTGTCAGCAGAGTGAATTTAACCCAAGTTGTAATCAGCCTCACTGCTTCCATAAATAAATAACCACCTAGTCCTTGTTAACTTGCATCTGTTCAAACTTTCTTGTAGTGTCCTTCTCTTGTCCTTGACCAATTATAAAAATCTACTTTTCCTCAAATTTGATTTCCACAAGAACTGTGTGTGTGTGTGTGTGTGTGTGTAATAGTCTGCTTGCGTAGTCGTGACACGTGTCTGTGGCTGCACAGCTGGGAAATCAACAGCTGGCTAATAATTTTCTCCAATGAGAAAAAGTGTGCAACGCAGATCAGGCCAACCCACGATCAATGCCAAATAACCAATAACTGCATGTGAGCGAGCTGATTAGGCAGCGAGTGTTTATTATGACTGCAAACATATGAAGTATGTAGGAGTGAGTCCTCATAGTGTCGGGGCAGGTGATTTATTGCAGCATGCTCCACTGTTCACCCAGCCATTGATAGTATTATTAAATAAAGTGAGTGCAGTAACCTCCAGCAGCACGACCACGACTGTTCATATCACCATGTTTGTTTTCTGCTGATGCAGGCAGGCTCACAGGAAATTACAGAGTGCTGCATCAGTTTTTGGTGTACCAGAAACATGCCACGGCTGCTATCCATGGGTCCCACAGCCCACTTTTTTGTTTTTTCATTAATATAACATGAGCATGGGCCCAAAACGGGGACCCCTGATGGCTGAAAAAACAACCCCTTAATTTGTTTGTTTGAGCTTGGTCAGCAGCCTCCCTCACACTTACTGAGACTCTTAATGATAATGGCTTTTGTACCAATGGAGTGAGGCTGACTGTGGTAAGGACCGCCCCCTCTTTATTCTAACCTCCCTGTTTATTTCTGCATTAGTTTTGATCTGGGGCACGATTGTTGTGAGGAGGATCTGAGTGGGTGTTATTGGTTGATGACCTTATTTTCAGCAGATCTTGTGCTTTTGTTGACTTTGTATAATAAATGAGTTTGTTGATGGCTTTCTGATTCCATTCAAATGTCCCCTGTTACAGAAGGTTTTTTTTTGGGGGGGGGGGGTTCCTGTCTTTTTACTGCCACTAGTGGGTGGTTTTACACTTGAGTTGATGTCTTTGCCATGTACCTGTCAATATATCCTGTTCGGGTCTTCCATACAAACATATATTATAGTGTACATTAAATGCACTTTATCTTTCAGTCATTACTACTTGTTATAATTTGGCTCTAGTGTTTCCAAACATCTCACTTTGCCTGGTTGTCAAGGCTGCATGTTGTTCCAGCTGTAACCCCTCAATACATGAAGTAATTATTTTTGCCTTGTTATTGCTGTTTGTTTAATAAGTACAATGAGATATGGAGTATGAGCCAAGCACTAAAAATAAATACAGAGGAAGTACCGGATGTGTACCGGACACATAGTTCTTGTATAATGTTTGCATAAGAATGCAGCTGTGAGGTTAAAGCGTTCAACACTTGAACAACTTTCTTACTTTTTACCCTCACCCTGCAAGAACCTTCCATCTGTCAATGCCAGCAAGTGAGCGTGTTCACAAGGCTCACGCTCCGTCTTCACAGGGTTTATACACGGTTCTGGTTTACAAGGCTGTTACCCCTAGGTCAACTTTTCCTCCTGTGAATGACTGTAGAGGAGCTGTCACTGTGCTCTCATCTAGCCATTTACTCTATATGTATCCAGTACTCGGTATTGAGTAATGATCAAATCAAGTACTGATACTACAACTTCAGGCATGATAGAAAATTTAAATGGCCATGCGAAAGAAAATGGTTGCAGTAAAATAGTTTTGAGTAAAATATCTTCTGTGAACTGATGAAATCAATGGACAGTAATTAAAAGGATGCTAATACTCATATTTTTTAAAAAGCTTTGTATTGTTCCTCAACCAGAGACAAGAAAACACAGAACAACACAAACTGATAAACATCTTTTTCATGTCAAGTATTGAACCCAAGGCAATCATTCATTTAATCAGCATTCATTTGAGTTATTAGTCGGAAAAGACTGAAAAGTAAAACGCTGACCAAAGAAAAAAAAAGGTCCATATGTTTGCAACCTCGCTATAAATCACAGAGGACAGTGATAAGAAGAGACCTGGTGCCCATGCTGGCCGTCCAGTCAATAGAGACAGAAAGGCTGCAGAGCTGCTGACAGCTTGTCGTGCTGAGGTCCTCCGCTGCCAGGGGTCATTTATATCAGAGGTGACAGCAGATGCTATTGTGCATGTCATTTTGTAGGTGAGAAAGACAGGAGCTTTGCTAATGACCCCAGTTATGTCATGGCTAGATGTTGGGGTCAACAATACCCACAGACCATTCTGGCTCACCACTTTCTATGACATGACTAGAGGCTGTTTGTGACTGATTAACCGTGTAGTAACCACAGCTTTGCATTTCCTCTCCTCTGTCTGCTGCAGCAAATACTGGCAGGCAGAGGGAAGCCAGATTATGTCACCATGAAAAAAGAGGCCCGGCGTCGTCAGGGTGAAGAACTGCAGTAGCGGCAGCAGCAGCAGCAGTATGATTAAACATCAGACAGGAGGCTACACTGTTTGATTGCCTTGTGGTTAACACTGTGTTCACTGTGACAGGGACAGATTATTATCCCTCTCTCAGACACAATAACAGCTCTCAAATTATCAAGTGCAAGGCTGTTTATAGAATTTATGACAGGTAGTAAGACACTGTCAAAACTGTTTCCTTAAATATAATTGAAGGCTTTAGAAGGAAGTGAAGAGAAGTTAAAAGATATTTTTAGGCGATGTCACATGCTGTCAACGCTGGATTAATAGTTTAGTGTGAAAGAGCGCTGGTCCCTTTTTCCAAAAATAATGTTTAAACAAATGTTTTGTGACAAGTTGGACCTTCGAGATCTTCAAAGGTCTAACAGAGATCAAGCGTATCACACACACGAACGCACACACACACACAAGCACACAGTTCTTCTTCCATTCCTCCGTGTGTTTTCATGCCTGTGGATGGTCTGTCACCTGAAGCTGTGTGCATGACATGACGGAGCAGTCACAATTCTCACAGGGAGATAGGGCCTTGTTAAATGTGCATGTCCTAATCTTATCATCTTAACTGACAGATGCATCTGCAAAAGTTAAATTGCAGCATTTAAATCCAAAGCTAAAAGGCTGTTTTGTAGGAAATTCCAAATAAAAGCCAAAACCTTCATCGCCCTTTAGTTTAATGGGCTTCAATTCGGGAATGAAACTGACAATATTGTTACAAAACTGACAAAACATAATATAAACTTTGCAATCTAATGATTATGAGAGGTTTGTTGAACAAAGTCAATTCCACAAATGGCTTTATACATGGTAAGGAATAACCATCAGAGTTATGACAAGCTGTTGTAGCTCAGTTACGGACATTGGTTTGGCACAAAATAGAGGTTTTACCATTCACCAGTCACCATCACATCATCAGGGGCTGTGGCTTTATTGTCTTTTAGAAACCACACATGTATAGAAGATGATTCTACATGTCAGAATGATGAAGTGCACACATCCTTACCAAAGCATTAATGTAATTTGAATCCAAATTGAATGGATAAACATGGACAACGGCGAATGAGCCAACTGAGTCGCTGCCATTTTCATTACCTAAGGCCGTGTGGTTTTACTGATTAAATCATGGATACTCAAATTAGTCCTATTACACATAATGAATCAAATAAACAGTACAGTCATCTATAGTGTTTTTGTTAGCTGTAAGTTGCAACATCACCCATAAAAAACAAAACAAAACAAAACAAAACAACACCACTAACTGAAATACATCCACAGTTTAATGAAGAAACAAATTTACATAATAACAATTTCAACCTATATGTAAATTATGGGCTTGGATGAACTGGAAATGTTTTGTTTTAGACACTGTTTAACAATATCTTCAAATCTTCTCAAGTTGTATATTATATCTATATATAATTATTAATTTATACATTTAATAATAAATAACTATTCTTGGCATTAACTTTTGTTTACTGACTTCACAGGAAGAAAGAATACGATGAAATATTGAATGTTAAAAATGTTAAAGTCCACTTGACTAAATTATCACTATACTAAATTGTCTTATACTCACGATTTTTACTCAACGTTGCCCTGTGTCATTTTCCTTATCCTAAAAGAGAAAATGTCCAACGCATTTACAGAAAACTTCAAATGTGAGTTCTTTTGCATGCAGACATTGGTTGCCCTGTTTGTTCTGAGTTGTTAATTATTATAAGGTCAACTAAGAAGGTATGTGTGTGTGTGTGTGTGTGTGTGTGTGTGAGTGAGAGAAGACAGGAGAGGGATTTGGTATTTAGTTTGACACTCAAATCCTGGCTGCGTCACGGCTGTTTCTTCCCACTTCTGCAAATCACAAATATCATCCAGAAACAAAAGGCCAACAGAGAGAGACTCATCAGGAGGACAGTGACCATCTCCACAATTATAAATATAAATCATTGTGTAATAGACACTTTAACAAGATATAGTGAAAGTCATCTTTTAAAATTAAAATTAAAATGGTTACGGTGAAAGGTCCAGTCTCAGTATCGGCTTATTTTTGAGATGAAGTGAGTCTGATACAGATACTGGTATAGAAATCATTGCATCCCTATTTATTGTGACTAAATAATTTTTTTTTTAATTGTGTTAATTTGACTTTTGACTTTTTTTTGGTTTGCAGTAAAAACACCATTCTTCATCCCAACTCTTGTTTTTTCTCCCCACTCACTCCAGCATATAAAAAGCTGTACATCTTCCTGTATTACCTGCCTGACATTTGTCATGAATTTTTATGACACTGAAACAAAATTGAGCACAACACCCCACACACTTGAAGGCAGAACAATTTCATTTAATATGTTTTAACCTTCCCCGGGGTTTTATTTGATCAGCAACCGTATGTTTAGGTTTTCTCAGGAAGACTGTTGCCATTTGGTTTTATTGGTTTTTGTCTCCCTTCATATTTCTTTGTTTAAACTAGGCAGCAGATGACAGGCACCCATGTCTCATTGGCACAATTTTTATATGAAAATGTTACATTGTCCTGCCTTTCATTTGCTTTGAAATATCCATAGTAAAATCACTGCTGGTTGATTTCACAGAATCACTGATACCAAAACCATGTTGTTTTTGAATTTTCTTAAAAAAGCAGCAGTTCAACTGAAAAAAGACATTAAAAGAGTGTATTAAATACAGGGGCTTTTGAATTTTCTTAAAATAGCAGCAGTTCAACTGAAAAATGACATTAAAAGAGTGTATTAAATACAGGTGTAACTTCTGGATCCACAGACAATCAATCACTTTGTCCAAGACCAATGTGAAAGAAAAAGAAGTGGGAACATTTAGGAAAAATCTTGAAAAATGGCGTATAAAAAAAAAGAATTCGTCACCACAATAACATCAGATACTCTGATTCAATCTTAGAAGTATTTCAAGTTTCCATTTCCTTTAGCGTTTGTGTTAAATTATGTTCTTGGAATATTAAAATTATACCTTTTTGTAACTGGTGTGACAAATACTCTGGAAAATACAATATATGGATTCCAACGAGCAAAAATCGTGCTACGTTGCGCCAAAGAACTGTAATTTTGGCGATATAAGTCGAGGACCCAGAGTTGAGTTGGAGCAGGAAACAGTAACACAGATGGCTCCACTGTGGATTATTCACCGTGGAGTAATAGAAGAATTTAATAATAGAACACACACGTGTGTTTGTTTGTGGGCATGTGTATTAAGGGAATGGATGTGGACGTTTTTCTACGGCTGACTACTTCCCCTTCGCCTTTACACTTCAATTTAAACATCACAGAGCCTCCAGATTCGCCCCATTAGAGGATGATCTGCAAACAGTGGTGGTAACGGGCCACTGATGTGTCCCTGGGCTTCTCTACTCAAAATGAATCACACAGGCTGAAGCACACAGACAACAGGAGCACACCATAGCTTTGGGAAGGTCATTCTAAGAATAGCTGTAAATACATAAAAAACAAACACACGCACAGAGACAAGTACTGAGAGGTGCATGCACGGAAGTGGTCAAATATGCATCATTCATGACAGGAGGCTTACCCTTACCAAAGAACTCTCCTGCCAAAAACACTTCGGCATGTCCCATTAAAAAAGACAACAAATAAACAAACACATGTCCCGTCTTATAATTGAACAAATAATTAATTGCTGTCGATTTCCTTATATAAAGTAATATTATTGAGTAGTGTCAGAAATTCACAGGTACACATTGTTGTGCTGTCGTTATTGAAAAAAAACATCTTGGTTGACCGTTACTTCACTATGAATAAAAAATGACCTCAATGACTGAGAACTAACATGGATTCATTTATAAAGCTTATAAAAATAAATGTCATAAATTTCATCTCAGGCCTCAACCTCCCATCCTGCCCTCCATTACAACACTCCGCCCCCCAGATTGGAAACTACTAGACTATACTAAAAATAATGACACAAAAGAATGGCAGCTGTTTTTTCTTAGATTTAGGCTAAGTGAAGGCTTTTATTGAACAGATGTTGCGTTCATGAATCTTGAAGCATGGACCCAATTTGACTGCAAAGTGAGACAAGAGGTCCCCCAGACCCAATCAAGGTCGAGCTCCCAGATAAGAGAGCAGATGGCAGTTTGTGGAAATAGACTGTAACACAATGTAAGAGGACATTGTGAGTTCTATCTGACAGCTCATCCTCAAACGACTATTTCCTTTTCATGCTGTCACTGGAAACATTTGTGATTAACACACACAGAAAAAAAAACAAATTATTTACAGGCAGCTTGCAGCGCTTTGAACTAAGCTTTAATTTTGTAAGGCCGATAACCACACCGAAAAAAACCCCACTTTGTTCTGCCTTTGGTGTGTGTTTTGAATTGGAGTGCAGTGACACTCTGTTGAACTGTGACAAATAACAGCACGGCTGAGTGAATCTCGATACTCCAAAGACTACGTTGTATTCAAACCAGAGATTGTGTGTATATATATATATATATATATGTGTGTGTGTGTGTTTTCATACGTGTGTATTTTGTATAATATATTATAATACAGAGGTCAGCGCTTAAGGGTCCAGTTTTCCCAAAATGCATCAGGTCCAAATACAGATGGTTAATTTGTTTGTGGCACAGTTTGGTTTTAATGTTTTTTTTAAACATAATTATGCAACAGCCTTTTACACCCTCAGTAATCACTCAGTACTACCTGCAACATAATGGTTCATCATTGCACTGATCATTAGTTCCACAGTTAACCAAATGGTACAGTACACACATTTTTTGCACATGCAGATGCAGAGTTAAATAATCCCCATTAACAAAACCTGAACGTGTAACGAATGCTGTTTTTAAACTCAGCGACTCACAACAAGTCTGGGTTCTTACTGTGATAAGGAAGCAATACGTAACTATAAATATAAAAGACCTACTGATCTTCATTTGACTGCCAGAGTAATTACTCTGCAGCCCAATTCACTGGCTTTACTTTAGCAACTGGAGAGCAGCCAAAACAACATGCGACTCCCCACAATAAATATCTGTACAAAGATAATTGAACAGCTAATAAAAGTGAAGCAGCGTTTCATTTAAAACAGAAAGTGGCCAGAATCTTGATGCTGGATAAACAAAGTGGCAGAATTATCGGACGGTTTGTGACATTGATAATGGTTTAAAGTTTTTGTTTGTGTTGTATTTGTACAAGTTGTGCAAAGAAGAAGGTTGTCTGGAATGGATATCCATTCATAATATTTAATAAAATAATAAAATAATAAAATACATAATTCATATATGTATATAAAAGTAATTTATACACAGAGTTAGAGATTTAATGAAAATACAGTTTCAAATAAAATATGAAATTTTATTAAATTAATATTATTTTATGTGTGCTATGTATGCATATATGTATGTATGTTGCTTTATAAAACATCCATTGAACTGAAAGGGTACTGTACATATTAATCATGGTACGACTTTATTTCTATTAAATACTGTAATGTGGAATGAAGTATTTACATTTATACTATCTTCTAAGTTCAACATTTGACCAGTGAGAGTGAATGATTTGTCTCTATACAGCACCTCAAATAGACTGGCAACCTGTTCAAGTTGTGCTCCACCTTAAAACTGACGACAGATGTGATTGACTTCAGGTCCCCCGTGTCCGTTAACACGACACAGTGGTGCGGGTGAATAACTGAATTTGAGCTGATATGAATTACCAATTTTCTTAGACGGAGAATCACAGGTGTGTGCTGCAACCCTTTGGTGTTCATCACTTTTATGGCACACGGTGACCGTTATCACACACTGACAAACGACTCAGCCTTTACTGAATGAACATGCTGACCTTTTTAACTTCAAAAGAAATAGATTTATTTCCTACCGGAGACAGTCCTGACGACCTCGGAGGTGTTCCTCAGACCCACAAAGGAGAATTGGTAGAGCCTCCAGGAGCGAATGTCCCCCACCTCCACTGAACTTCTTTTCCATTTGTATACAATCTCCTCCCTGGGGTAGCCATCTGAGCAAGAGAGAGGGGAGTAGGAACGACAGGGAACTCAGCTGAGAGTCAGTAGAGAGAGGTAACGCTACAAAAATAAAAAAAATCTATTTTTATTGCCTTTATAAAAATTCCTGATTGGTTAAATAGGCTCTAATGTGCTCTTCTAAACACTCTATTGGTAAACAACAATTTCTGAAACAACAGTTTTTATTTTGTGTCAAGGTAAAGTGAGACATTTGGCAATTTTCTATTTGAAGAAAATCCCCTTCTTTTACTTTGAAGTTTTAAAAAAGGTGAAGACATGTTTAATATTTAAATACAGAAATATTGATGAAAAAACACCAAGATGTTCCTCTACATTTCCACCATTGAAATCTGGACACACTACCAGCTGCTTTGACTCAATTCAAGATTCACTCACAGAAAAAATCTAAGTGAGGTTGACATCTCTAAAGGACTAGGATTTTGTTCAAATTTCAAATCTTAAATTCTAAAGCTAAAAACCTGATTGTCAAAGATGTTGAAGACATCTAAAATATCTTTCAAATAATGTTTCACTCTCCCTTGCATCACATTCTAGTATTAAAATAACTCAATTATTCAAATTCAATATTAAGTGCACATTGATGTAATAGTTGACCCCCAGGAATAACTATTTGATGTAAATAGATCAATCTAGAACAACAGGCTCGGTCAAGTGTGGATGTGTTCTGCCAAACCTCGAACATGTCATGGAGACATCCCACTACTGAGTCTGACATTGCTGCAGTCAGCATGTTGTCTATACGTCTGCCCTCACAGCTGAGCACCAGGGCTGTATTGTAAAGTCTGAGGAGATGTGACATACAGCAGAAGCTATTTATTACAACCAGGCCCAGACACTGCAGCCCGGAGATCCTGCCGTGTAAGCACCGTCATAAAATGTCACAGCTTCTGGCTTATTTTAGCAGAGCATTGTTGCTCACCTCCATCACACAGCAGTGAATAACGTACATAAGAAATAAAGAGCATTTTGATGCAATTGTTTGAAGAATGCCTTAGATGTAGAATTATATTTATTTAAATTAAAGACATGTTTTAATGTTCAATACTGTAGTGATTCACTGCTGTAGAGGGACTTTTATTTATTATTTCTTATTATTATTATTTATTATCATATTTATTTTATTACTAGTGCTAATTTATTAGTTGTGGTCAGCAAACCATGGTCGCTTGTGAATTTTTGTCACGTAGCTAAATTTTTAAAAAGGGATCAAATCTGTGTGAGGAAAACCTCAACATTTTAGTGAACTCCTAAATTCGTCTTGTGACTGGACATCACTAAACATTTATCTTTACTTTAATAAAGTCTGACTGCTACATTTTTCAGCCAGCTCTCTTCAGATTACAGTCTGGTGTCATCTCCACTTTTGCGGTAAAAAGCAAGCAGCCGATGAGAGAGCAGCTTGAATAATGCACACCAACTTTCCTCACTGCAAACTTTAAAAGGCTTTATGACTAAAGTGCTCTCAGACATCCGATATTACTGGACCTCGCAGGAGTCGGGAATTGAAGGATCTGCTCATTTGCACATTACTGCCCGGCAGACAGACAGTCTGCTCCCCTGCCGACAATACGCAGTGGACAGATTATTCTTTAAGCATCTTTTTGGGAAGCCGGTATGTTGCCGAAGTCGGGTGTTAGGAATTCACTCTGGAACAACTGTTGTAAGTTGGAACAGTAATTAAGGTGTTTAAATGAAGCTCTTACATTGAGTAAAATGACTGTTCTACGACTGAACACTGTGTGATTTGGTTAGAGCTGAAGGAGGCGGTGCCGTGTGACGAGGCTCTTTGCTCTCTGGCATGTGTTAAGACAACACGCCATTTGACAAATTCAGTTTTGTTAACACTGAGCTCCCGTACCATGGTTTAAGTGAGTTCCAAAGTCGTGAAAACAGACACTTTCATCAAATTCTAAATTAATGGCTCCGTTTCATTTTTCTTTTTCTCTTTTATATTTCTCAGCAGCACTCAAAGGGGAGTTTTTTTTATCTTTTTTGTATTTCAAGAATATCCCATGGTGCACCTCTCAGTGGATCCATTGCAGTACCATTAGCATATCAAACACACTCACAGAACCTGAGACAGAGAAGCTAACTCATTTGGTTTCATGTTACTTTTTTGTTTTTGTCTTGAATCAGTCACCTCTTCAGCTTTGGTAACAGGACGGTCTATTATTAAAGCCTGAAATGATGACTGTACCTACTATGGTCGAATGAATGAATGAATTATTTGGATAAAAAATATTAAACACATACATTTTTTTTCATTAATGATGTATAAAACTGTTTTAGATGCAAAACAGTAGTTTAACAAGCAGTGACCAATCAGTGGTGTACAGTCAAGATGCATTGTTCAAATGATCCAATGGCTGTATCTGCCTTTTAAACTTCAATGACATGTTCCTGTCTTCTTGGTCAGTGTGTCATTTGGAAAAACTTTGACAGTAAAGGTTTGGATTAATGGTGAGAAATACATTGTGTCAACCTCAAGGGCTCACAAATAACATTAACCAGTAAGGGTGTTTGTGTGTGTGTGTGTGTGAGAGAGAGCATATGGCCAGACTTACAGCTTGAAAACTCCAGGGGACACGAGTGCTCATCCATAGGGAAGTTGTTCAGTTTGAGCTGGCACTCGGCATCAATGGTCAGCCTGCAGGCACACACAAATGTGTATTTAAAATTGACATTTCAAATATAAATATAATATGCATTAATATTCTGCTAAATTCCAGCCATTATCAGCATTAACACCAGGCCTCACTGAACGGAGGCAGGAAATTAAATTGACATCTTTCACATCTGTCCCGTCTGTTTAAACATGGGGGACGTTGAAGGCAAAGTCATTAAACTCGTCCTAATGAGAGAATGACCTTAAATGACTTTATCCAGCCGCGTGCTCGCTTTTGTCATGTATCATTGTCCTCCAAAACACAGCGGTCATCCTAATTAACCAGTGGTTAAATGCAGAGTTCCTTAACAAATTAATGAAGCGGAGAGGGTAGTGTTTTGCTCAGGAGAACATCCATCAAGGCTTGATTGAGTCCAGAAGAGTTCACTTTTTCTCCCATTATCACCGATGATGTATTGTGGCGTCTGTGTAAACGTCAGCTCTGTTTATGATGGGATGCAAAACATGATGGAAGGCACACTTAATATTCCCCTTTAATCAACTCTCTTGATTAACAAATGTTATACAGTTCTCATTATACCCATCTGTTTTACCCTGATAACTTCTCTCTCTCACACACACACACACACAGTTACTATTGTACAAACAGTAATTTATAAAGAGGCTAAAAGGCAAATGTCATCTCCTTCCTGCCCATCGGAGCATCCAGACTCTAAAATCCTCTGGCAAGAACGGGCCATTAGACCATCACTAGACTAATTGATAAAATATTAAAATATATCTCACAAATCATATACAACCTCAATTAGAAATGTGTAAGAAGCATCACAGTTCAGAGCAATTTATTTTAGAGAATAGCATATGAAAAAAAAAAAAATAGCTGGAGGCGTTGTTTTTGCAGCCTTTCCTTTCTCACATGACAACTTTCAGCCCTTTTTTCAGGAAGACGGATTTCCCATATGCTAATTAATGTGGAAATGGAAATGACAAAATTAAAATTGCCCAGGGCCTCCTCACAGTAATCAGTTTCATGAATCATTAATGCAGAGATGCTGTAAATGGTCGAACGCCTCATGGCCTACACTTGGCTTGTTGTTTGTGATGGATTCTAGTGAGAGGAAAAGAAACAAACAAACAAAAAAAAATACTACAAGTCAAATAAAATAGTGATCCTTGTCAAAAATCTAATATATTTTATTATTTTTTTTTAATTACTACTGAGGAAATAATGAAAATCCCAGGGTGTAGAATAATCAAGAGGCACTTAACCTTTAAAATCCATGAGATGTGGATTATTATTCAATAATTTCACCAAAGTCTTAAAATTCATGAAATTATTGATCGAGAATCAATGACCAGTGCTGACGTCAGCTCTACTACTAATTCATTATCCCAGTCGTCCATACTGTTTTACCTGAGGGTGTAGAGTATTCGACCGTCGTTCCAGATCCGGAGCATTCTATTTGGTGTGGTTATCCAGTGAGCGTCTGCCTTCTTAGAGTTGCGGAAGAATGTATCGGGAATCCAGATTTTTCCGACCATATTGCTATTAAGACGCAGAACCTTCATCGTACTGTTAAATTTCAACCTTCTGTCGTACCAGGTTTGAGCGAAGAAGATGTCAATGGTGTATTCCTGAAGAGAAAACAGACGGTCATATTCATGTTTGTTATAACATCTTTGATCGTCTTCAGAAAAACCTGACTTTTCCACCACTGTGCTGTCTCCAACATGGCTTTTCTTTATGAAGTGGATTTAGATTGAATCAAAAAGTGAGCTCCAAAAAAGGTTTTTTTTCTTCTTCCTTGTTTTCTATCCCAATAAACACTGAATGCCTGAGCTCGTTTTAGTTACTTTTTCCCTTCAGACCAAACAGTGTCTGTTCAAAGTCATTTTCTCTTCTAAAGACTTGTGCTGACAACAGACCGTCCATACGCCCTCATCCTGAAAATTAAATGTTCAACAGTGCAATTAACAATTCCAAATGTTTAACTCAGGTAATAAGAAAACCTCATAACCAGCGGCTTTTGTTGTAAGCCGTACAAAACGCAGTGTCTCCCATTTAATACCTGTCAGAGCTGCGAACAGTTAAATGGTCATTTACATTTACACATAAGAACAGAGGCAGGGCCTGAGAGCCGAAAGCGACTGTCAGCTATGGAGGAGAAGCAGTGACTTGATTTTGCAATTTTGAATGCTGGGATGTGTTGTTTAAAGCTGTGGTTTCTGAAGGCGGGGGAAACAAACCCTAAAAGGGCCATAGCACGTTAAATAAGTAAGCATTTTTGCACAATGCAAAAATATACTGTATATACTATGTGTTTTCCCCAAAAAGAACATGATTAGTTCAAATAAAAATAAAAAATAAAAAAAGTCAAGGTTTCGGAGCCTTTTAACAACTGTAGTCAGATGCTAAAAAGCTTCGGTGTAGGAGGGTTGAAGGTCTCACTTAACAAACCTTGAAGTCTTTTGCAGCTTAATTTAATAAAAAAATGTGCCTTTATTTTTCCAACCATATTGTGAGTGTTCTATTTTTGAGAGTGGGTGTTTCAGAGTAGACTAAGTAAAATGGAGTGTCACCTCTGCATACGAGCAGAATTGACAAAGGAAACTGTTTCTGTGAGAGCTTTCTGGATTCATCAAACCTTCGTCCCAATCTTATTCCACATTAGTGAATCCATTCATCCTTGAGTCCAGTTTCAGAGGGAGATGAAGCTCCGCCTCTTTTTCTAATGAGTTGTCATCAGACCAGTTAGTCTGTTAGCTTACTTCTTTGCCACTCTATTACCATTTTTGGCTGCATTCTTTGTAATCAGTACTTTAAATTCTAAGTATTAGAATTAGTATTAGTTATGTTTTTTTGTTTAATCTCGTCGTCCTGAGAGTAGACTGTATCCTCTTGTGGCCATAGATGATATATGGTATATTTTGATATATGAGTTGCTTCAGAATAATAGTCACAGGACCAGATAACCTGAAAAAGCATGATTAATTTTCTGGAGAATACCGTAATATATTCTGGTGCTCAGATACTTCAGAGAACATCTAACAGTTAACAAAAAGGCTTTTCAAATTAGCAAATAATCCAAAGACCTCGTACAGGTGACACCTCAAGTCTTGGCGAGTACAAGGTGAAAATAGCAAATACGCTGGCACCGTTCAGAGCCGTTTGCAAATATGTTACTTTGAATTCTGGCTGCCGTTTGCTGCCACACAACTGCTGGGGTGTTAATTAGATTTCCAATTTAAAATTAGAGGTGTCTTGCAGCAGTCGAGTGCTTGGGACCGATGAGCATATTTACCCGTCGCAGTGTAAAAGCCTCTACAGTAGTTTAATGTATGTACTGTAGCTGATTGACACCTGTGCTGGTTTGCCACGCTAGGGCAGTGGGGCAGCAGAGTGATTACACAGACCTACTCTCAATGACAGCGAGCCTCTGCACTGCTGAAGTGTGTTTGAGCAAAAACGCTAAATCTCTGCCAGCTCCACAGACAAGAGCGACTGTTCTCTGGATCTTAATGCCCTCACTTCCCACAGAGCTGGACGCAGGCCAAGGAAGTATACCTGTGATAAATACACCCACTCCTTCTGCCAAGTATGCATCTGGAATAAGTCAGCCATGCAGAAAACAACAGCTAGTTGCGTAACACAATTGTGGCACATTATCTTTCAATTTTGCAACTAGTACTTACCATATTGATGGCATTCACTGGGCCGATGCTGTTGACAAACATATCTGTGTGTATCACTGTGGGTTTGACTGAAAGGAAACACAGGAAAACGCATTTAGAGCAGGGAAATTATCCATCACCGACACAGCACTAGCGGCAGGTTTTGTGAGAAGTCAATATAATTACTAGTGTTGCCTTCACTGAGGAGGATAAAGAATTTACCACCAATAGAAACATTTCTATTCAGTCTGCATTCAAGAGACGCAGCAGCAGATGGAGTTTGATGCTGCAATTAACTCACTATTTAGTCAATACAATTTTTATAAATTAATATGACATTCAATGCTAAATAACAAAAAAAAGTTTTTCCACTAAGTGCAAAAACACTGAAACACAACCATTGATGATGTAATTAAATGACTAATTTTATTTTATCAAACCATTTTTGGCTGCATACTTTGTAATCAGTACTTAAAAATAACTAATTTTATTTTATCAAAACTGTGTGTTAAATTTGGAATTAAGTAGATAATTAGATTTTTAACTATTTATTGTTTTTTTGTTGTTTTCCCTTGATTTGTTATTTAATTTAATTAATTAATTTTAATTAATTAATTAATTAATTTTAAACCAGGTCAGTACTACTCAGACAAGTACAAACAGACCCATGGCTTCGTTTTTCTCTTATACAGTACATGACAACGCTGTATATTCCACTACTTTTCTAAAGAGTTTCCGGCCAGCCACACACTTCTGACCCATTTAACAGAATACCTTTGTGTCAAGTACAAATAATCCATTCATCTCTTTTCCTGCTTCTCTGTGCTGCAGGCCTGTGAGCTCCTGTTGATTGTAAATCATTTGCTCTCCTCTCTCGCTGACCTGCTGTTTTTTTAAACTTTATATATTGAAAGAGAAGCATGTAGACAGACCTGGGCAATATAAGGTCGGTGGGCCAGATATGACCCACTGGGCTTTAACCCTGGCCCACCAATCACTTGTAGCGTATGGTAAAGACCAATGTCAATCTTTCTGTTTCATGCATTACAACAAATTGACTATAATTATAATTGGCAGTCATCAACCGTTTTTTTTATTATTTGACCCAGCATTCTACATTTAATCAGTACTGTCTCAGTTCTCCAGTTAAATTTTGGACCTCATTTTGCCCCAATGTCAGTTTGTTGAAATGGGATAATTCATCATCCTGTTTACTTTTCAAATCTGTAAACACCTTTAAGAAGAAATATGTCATGGCATATGCCACTGCTCTATGTCCACCTCCGTCCTCTGCCGTCCATGACACCTCGCCGTGTCTGCTGTCCTTCTTGGTTCAGCGGGATGGACAGCCAGATGTAAAACATCAGTACGGCTGAGTAAACAGGGCAGTTTGGTGTCAAATAGACCTCCATCCACTGTCTTGATGAGCCACTACACTTTGCTCTCTAATGTGCACGTTTATGGATGAGTGGACATGATGTTCTGAGCGTGGGAGCCAGGTTTAGACTTGCACAGCCTGTAGGCTGGATGTGGCAGCCATAGTAAGTGTGCGAGAAAAAAAAAACAAAAAAAAAAAAAACGAGGGAAGTTTTCATACATTTTTCATGCCACTCCTCTGCATAAATGCATGTGCACTGAAACCTCGTCCTTTTTCATACATGAAATCAAGTGCTAAAGGAGGCGGCAGCTCTAATACATTTGGCAGCTATTTATATGTTTAATGCAGCCAGACGTAGGTTTGTCATGACGCACCGAGGTGCCAATGAGCATTTAGTGTGCCTGTGTGGTTCTATCAGAAACAGCGTATCACATGCCAACCCGCCCACTGTGGGCATCTAGATGAAGCGCTAACTGAATTAGTTTAAAATCTTAAAATAAAGCTTTGTCTGTAATTAAAGTCGAAGCAAATACCTGGATGAACACCTCGTACGTGCACATGCACAGTATACACACAGTATAGATGTATGTATTCTTACAAGCATTGTCAGTCTGCGGAAACTTCCAATTGCTACTCTCTCAGTTTGACTTTTCGATATGCTTCAGTTTTATATATACAGCCACTGCAGAGTCATTAAAATTAAATGAGCATCACAAAGAAAAGAAGTGAGGCACAATCAGAGATGAATCTAAATCCAACACACTTCAACGCCCTGTAGAGTGGTGGGAAAGTTCTTCCTTCCCTGGGTTCGGTTGGTTGTTCAATTGGTCGACGTCTCACACGCAGCTAATTATAACTCGGCTGTAGCTACGAAGCTTGGCAGGGGCTTGAAGACCAACGTGATGGCGCAATTGAAACAGACGGTCGAGACTCAGTGGTCCTCTGGATCCAAGCTGAGCCTCAACAGATATGAATGCTGTTCTTCTTTTACAGCCCGGGGGGGAGAGGGCAGGGTTAACAAACCACAGCCCTGTGGGAGCTGGGATTTAGTTTATTGTTTTATATTTCCCCTTTTATTTACCCACAGGACCCACTGCTCCCATTTTGAACTTTGCCATTAAGTCTATTAGAATGTTAGTTAAATTATTAGATGCACAAAAGAAATCCATAAAAGTGACACACCTCGTATGTTAGCACAGATTAGCAACGATCATGACAAGGTAATGCAGAAACCTTAGTTTACCCTGAGCGAACAATTTGTACTTTGTCCTAGTCCATATGGCATACTCTGTATCACGAGACATAAACTTAAATTAAACCTAAATAAGACAAATGTTAAGTCTCCGCCCTAGAGTACACGATTGACATGAGTTCATAAGAAAAAGGCTCTTTTCCAGGCTACGTTAGACAGATTTCAGCCTGGGTACAACACTCGTTGTCGTTGCAACGTGGCCCTTTGAAAATTTGCTGCTTTCGTGCACGGGGCTGCGTCTTTATCATAACATTAGAATATGTGACAGAGTATGACTTAAAACTGTCTTTGCAGACGTTAAGTGTTTCAAGACGCTGAATATATTTCCTGCTTCTGTCTACACTCCTGCCCAGCTGTCTGTCACAGAGTGAGTAACTTGTCTAGTTTCCACAGTCAGATTGAAGGGAGAGACTCTACAGACTCTCATGGCAGATGAATTCTCAGAATATAAAGACAGGTAAACAAATAGCTTCAATAAGCCTGGCTGACTGTCACACTATAGATATTGGCCAACACACGGACACTTTGCGACGCCTTCGTTGGCGTAAATCCAAGCTAAGCTTTCCACCTGTCCTTTCTTGAAATGATCTGACAGTTGTTGTTGCATTTTCTTTCTCCTCAGAATTATAAGAAAAGGACATGTGACACAACATCTCTCAGTTCTCCAGTGTTTGTCGGTTGATTTACATAAAAACCTGACCAGGAAACTGAGTTTTTTTTTACAATTCCGTAAAGCAACAACCCACCTCCGATGTCAGGTCTGAGCTTGTTGTCATATCCGTCTAGAAGGCTGTTCAGAATGTGTGTGACATCACTCTCGTAGACTTTTGGAGTCAGCACCCACGTCTTGTTAGTCGCCTCGTCGTCATCACTCTGAAAGGAGCTGTGGGAAGAGAGGAGAACACAAATCAACCAATAAAGCCTGTCTTTGTAGCAGCAGAGAAACCACTGTGTTTCCTTGTTTGTTCTACTTTCTCTACGGTGAATCACCGGAGCGAGGCACAGAGGAGTCATAAAGGCTTTTATCATTACTAGCCAAGGTCAAAAGATAAACTTGCCAAAATCTCCTTCACTAAAAAGTAATCTTCCTTCCTCATTCTGACTCTGACTTTTTGTTATACCATTCGGTAATCCTATAAACACCTGCAGTAGATGAAAAATACATTATATACACATATTTTATTGGAATAAAGTTTTAACTGTCAAAACTAATTTTCCTCATCCAACGCTCAGTTTGCATATTGTTGTTGACTACTTTGTGTGTGTGTTTATATAGTCTCCAGCCAATTTCATGAGTAGACAAACAGAAGTGGTATATCTAAAAGAAATGCATTACTGGCAGGGCGAGGATTTGACTGACAGCCCAGACTATCTCAATTTGGAAATGCTTAAAGTACCGTGCAATTTGCAAACTCATGTCTTTGCATAAAACGGAGGAAAAAAACACCATATGTCAAGGTTTACAACTTGATTGTAAAACAACTTGATTGTTTGTCATAGCCTTAAATAACGGTTGTGTGAGTTGGTGAGATGACATTTTCAGGCATTCTTTTCCCCCAGTCCCAGTTATCTCTCAAACCGTAACGAAACAAATGTTTATTCCTCATTATTTTTATTTAGCACATTTGAGATTTGTTTGGGAAATAGAGATGGAAGAAATTTGATAGTAGTAGTAATTTATATTCTGACAATTCTGTAAGATGCAGACATACTGTAGCATTAGGATATAGTTCCGTGTAGAGCATGGGGCTAATCTTATTTGATGACATCATTTGAAAAGATGATGGTAACTTTTTTATTGTCTTCACATTTCAGTTTTTAAGTACATGTTATTTTTCATAGATAATCTATGAAAAGCAGAAAATTGGATGACATACATTAGATATGTGGTTCCCAAAGTAGGGGATGTACTCCCCAGGAAGGCCAAGAGCAATTAGAGTTTGGACACACTACAGTTAATGAAATTCCATATCAATGTTTTCTTTATATTCTGTCACAGTAGTGAGTTTTCAGCAATTTTTACTTTTATTTCCTCTGTTTATGAATAATTCAGTTTTTTTAATTAAAGTCTTTTAAATAACGTTTCTTGGAGATTTCAGTTAATAGCTGTAAATGTGTTGACATGGGAGGGCTTGAATGTAGTCTAGTCCAGCTACAAACCTTAAATGGTCAGTGTTATTTTTATTACCATAACATATCTTGCTGTGGCTATTACCACTATCTATGTTGTGGTGCCCCCAATGAAATGTGGGATGGGTCAGGGGAGAGTGGGGGGAGTGGAGAGCCTGCTTGGCCCTGTCCAGTGTCCAGAGGCAGTATGTTTCACACTGTTGTTCTAGTTCATGTTAGGCTTGTATGCAGCTGCTCTGCTGTGAAATCCCACGTCATGAAGATTCCAGTGAACAGTCATTGTGCTGATCTTACACCAGGGAGGGAAGTTGCAAGTCTGCATTTATTGAGTCAGCAGTGTGTGTTGGAGACTATAAGGCACTATGTCTCTCATTGCTCTGTAATTTACATGGTCTGCTGCATTGTGGTTCCAACTTACTGTATGGGTCCATTTACATAAACCACCTGCAATTGATAGTGCAATATCTTGGATGTAAGGAAACAAATGTAATGACTTCCTGCAACGGTGCTTCCCTATTTTAGTACGGCTATCGACTTTTTTTATTTGCCTCATTTAGGGACATGTTGGTAAATGAATTCTGTCTATAAGCATGAAGGTAGTTAGTAATGGGTGGATTTAAATACTTACGCCAACCAATGGATTCCCTGCTCAAAAACTGTTACACAAATGTAACCATTAGCATTGATTTGCTCAAACGAAACTCTACGGTCTTTAAATTGGAACTGAACTGATATTTTTACTGTTTATCTTTATTTCTTTTTAATCTGTTATTTAATATTATAAATTAACCCAGCGGCGGGCGAGATGGGCTAGGGGGCAACATTTTATGTTCCCCAAGTGCTGGTCCCAAGCCTAGATTAACGATTATGTTTCTGTGCCTTAACTCTTGCCACCATATACATTTACGTGTATATTTATTTTATGCAATTTTTGTTTATTTGTCTTACTATATGTACAGCATGTAAAACAATGTTCTGTTCATTGTATCAGTACTTTATAATGGAAATCCTCTCCTTGTACAGTTTAATGGGAGACCTATTTCTCTAATTGCGTGCAAGTTGTGTCCGAGTAACACGAACACCTGCCTTGGTGTCAGGTGTTTCATAAAATACCCCATTTAGAACCTACAATTAGATCAGTAACACTGCCCACGGAAACCAAAGGAAAACGCATAATAGACATTGTTAATTTGTTTTGTCCTGCCACAGTCCTATATCACACTGATGCATCATGTAACCGTGATACAACAACACCTTGAAATGGCCCTGAGATTTCAAAAAGAAGAAGAAACATCAGAATGAAATAGAATGGTTTATAAGAGAAGAAATGGGAAGAGAGAGAGAGAGAGAGAGACAGAGAGAGAGAGAGAGAATCATTTCCATGGTAAAAGAAAAAGGACAGAAACCCTGATTGCTTTCTTGTGTTCTTGAACGAGATGTGCAAAAATGATGTTTTGACCTGCACTCCTTCTTAGTTTTCTTTAAGTGCTTTCTGTCTCCATCATCAAGTGTGTCTAAAACATTAAGTCACAGTTATTTAACCAGACTATTCTGGGAGAAAAGGCATAAATGAAATAGACACGCAGAGCCTGAAATTACTTTTTTTTTAAATCAGAAATACTATTATCTATATTCATTCTGCAGAGTTTCTCTGAATATATGGTAATATTCCTCAGATGAGAAGATCAAAAGGAAGAGCCATGTGTTCTCCACTGCCGGCAGATCTAAGCCTTTGCTTACTAATTTGGTACCTGAAGGCCAACAGAGAGCTCTGCATCAGTGCATGTGCAAGCTGTTGTGTATTGGTGTTTATATTCCTGTTGGGTTGTCATGCATATGCATGTCCCCATGTCTGTGTACGTAACGATGATGACAAAAATGATGATGCATTCAAGCCTTCATATCATGAAGAACCATGGGAAACGACCATATAAAGAGTGAAACATTCAAACCCTTCCTGAGCTCATGGTGCAGATCTCAGATCCTGCAGTTTTATGCATCTGTAAACGTAATGCAATGGTTCAGTACAACACCAGTTCTAGTGACGTGCTAACAGATGCTAATTGCTGCATGATTTGCATTCGGTTTTTATGACATAAAACTGAACCTTTGGCAACAAGTGCAAAACTTTCCCAGACTACCTCTCTGCATTTGGTACAGAGATAAACAAAAGTGTAGACGATTAAGCAAATTACTAAATTACAGTCATTTGTTGTCATTACATTTTACCCTGCTTATTATGTGTTGTTGTCAACATTACCGTAATGCAGTTGTGGTTCTCACATAATAGACTGTTATTACTAATTACCTAGATTTGTGCACTCTCCTTATCTGATCACAGACTGACCAACACAGACACCAGTCTATTCCCTGTACAGATGCTGAAGATTGGCTAACAAAAGCACAAAGGGTTGACCTGGTTTTATGAGCCACAAACATAGGACAAGGGTGGATTTTACTGGTTAGAGGTCAGGCCACTGTATTGTTGTTTGTGTTTTACTACACATTCTTCCTTGAAAACACATGATACACAGTATTTAACATGTAGATTAATGGACAAACAAACAGTAACAGAACAGGTTGGTTGTTCCCTGATGTAGAAAGCTTTAACTTTGTGTTTTAAGCCTTGGTATTTTAACAAGAGTGAATGGAATCATGCCTAGTTTCAGTTCCAGAAGGCAGATAACTGAAAGAATATACTTTAGACAAGGTAATATATTTTCATGTGCTTAAAAAAAAGCAGGCAGAGTAGCTTCCAATTACATTTTTATTACCTTCACCTTAATCATTACAGATTCAGAATATGGACAATAACGTGTCTATATATTGTTTGTAGCTCAGAGATAATAAGCTATGTTTCTCACTATCCACAAATCTACTTTCCTCCAGTCTGGTTGTTTAAACAAATGGAAATATAACCAGTAGATTTTAAGCTTTACACCAAGCTAAAGCTAAGCTAGAAAAGTAGTAATTCCATTTCTTGTTGAAAATAAGAACTGACTTCACTTTCTGTTGTCATGTCGGTTAAATTACCCTGACTTGTAGAAACGTTTGGCCCAGAATCTTGTTTACAACTTGGACATTGTGGTTTCATTGATGTAAATATGGTAGATGACAAATGTAAAGTGATTCAATCATGCATCACCACACAGAGGAACTGTCAATGAGTCACAAAGTAGCATGTAGTGAAAGCATACCCCGGGCCTTGGGTTGTCTTATGTAAGCAGTGTCACATATGTCTCACGTGTGACTTTTGTTGAGTATTGTTCAGTATTGTGAGAAGCCTGAAGGCATTTGTTGATGTTTGAAAAGATTAAATATTTTGCTGGCACCGGAGAACAAAAACCGAGTTTGATGTTAATAACACGACCTTGAAAGCATCTTGATGCCAATAGCCTGCTCTTAGATGTGTTGTTATTATTCAAAAAGCACCCAGGTGTCACTTGGCATTGATCTACCTCACTTCATTGTGTGTCAGCCACTCATGCATTACTTGTAACATCCATAACCTGCCCATACATCTCAATTCTGGACACAGTACATTGAGGCATAGAGCTGTGTTTACCCAGGCATGTAGTGAACTTTGCTTGTGCATACAATTAAAAACATGCAGAGACGCAACATGGTTAGGTGGTGCAGGGAGCGTTTGCTGTGACGTGATTGAATGTTGGCTGATTTATCTGCCTCCATTTTTCACCCTTCAGCAACACAAGACAACGTGAAGAATCCAACCGTCCGCTTCTTCCTGACTGTTCTTATCTTGGTACAGACAAACACTGCCTTGACAGGGACAACCAAAGTGTTCCTGTCAACAAATCTGCAACTCAGTCAGAGCTGACATGGAAATGAAGCCTCCTTTGTCTGCGTGAAACACAAGGAAAACTGCACACTGTATGTATGTAGCATCCCTGTATCTCTCTATTGTGCCTTTACACTTGTATGTCTGCCATTTTGATTTTTTTTTCTCTCCCCAAATTTTATATGCATGGAATAAAACATGTTCTTATTTATACTTATGTTGTCCATCACACATCTAAGTGGAGTTCACCTGCAGCCGTCTCAATAATAAGGCTTTGGCGCTTAAAATAGAGCTGATCCTTGAAGACAGCTTAGCAGAGACTATATGTGGTCATAGCTCCACTCAAGCTTACAGCTATATGCTATTTGCAACACTGGGCAGATTGTGAGACACCGGACGAACGGTCTCGTTGGAAGAGTGGTTGATTTGCAGGAATAAATACGTTGCAGTCACAGCATTATGAAAACCTAAACCTGTTCTCGTTTACATGGATACATTTTATCTTGGTTTGTGGCATTAAAAAAAAAGAATTTACACAAACCATTGTGCAGTAAAGAACTCGACTGCAATAACATCGGGGCTCGTTTGATACAACACGGTTTGCAAAGCGAAATTGGAACTTAAATAAAGAAACGCGCTTTAAGGATGAGAGAGGCAGAGATGAGAAAATATTAGGCACCCTTATCCTACCTTGTAGGCAGATTGACGATAATAAACACCCAGAGAAACAGCTTCAGGGGGAGGGATAGCTTCGCCATGGCTGCCGAGCATTTGGAGAGTGAATTGGGAGAAGCCATCATCACCATCTTCGTTTCCTCCGTCTGCAGATGGACGACTCCGTCCTTTTTTTTTCTTTTCTTTTTTTTTACTGTGTTTCCTCCCTGCGATGCATTACGCACACTAGCGGTAGCGCATCGGCTAAATCTAGACCCAAAGCAGGCAGGCAGACAGACAGACGTGCTGTGGAATGAAATCAGCCCAGGCAGAGATCGATGCGAGTGGAGAGCTTAATTTCGTAGCGCTGCTTTTTTTTTTCTGTCTATTGCTGAATCGACAGCCTGACAGCAGGGCCCTAAAACTGCCACAGATGACGAAGTCCCCCCGTAATAAGCCACTCTGTAGCGAGATGCTAAAAAAACAGAGGAGCCGCGGTCTGAATGCAGATTAACAGTAGGGTCAGAGAGGAACTGATGCACGCTGCTGCAGCAGATCAACACATGCGTGGTTTCACCAAGCGGAAACTGCTTTAGAAAAAAAGGGCAAAACTAGCAACTAGTACTATGACTAAAGGCATGTAATAAAGTGTGTTTTAGCAATGACATTAAACTGTTATTCAGGTAAATAACAGCAAATAAATAAAAAAAAATCACATTGTTGTTTGAAGTTTAAAACGTCATCTTGGTTTCCAAAAATATGATATATATATATATTTGGAGACCAACAGATTTGGTCCCTGTATTACTTCGGTTTAGGCATCTGTATGCACGTGCGTGTGTGGTGATTGTGTGTGAGGGGACATGGCCTGCAAAAGGGTGTGGGTGGGCGTTTGTTAATCCAGTGATATTTATTTATTATTTTCCTTTGTGCTGTTAGGTCACTTTCAGCACCCTGGACAGCTCCATAGAGTTACTACAGGGCAGTTTGTGTATGTAAATGGGTTGTCGTCAATAAGAAGTGTGCAAGAAAAAAGGCTAGACACTGTCATATTTTTATTTTTATTTTTATTTTTATTTTTATTTTTATTTTTATTTTTATTTTTATTTACCCATCATGGTGGCCAAAGCCAAGCACTGCACACTCTGAATCTGCTGTTTATCATCTTCCTGTTACAAGCCAGTCCCCCTCCCCCAAAATTTCCTCATCCTTCTTTTTCATTTCCTACCCACACACAAACATCACTCAAACGTTGTGTTTCAACTTTCATTAGATGATATTTAATAAGAGCAACAACATGAAGGTAGATCTATGCTTTTGGCATGAAGGACGATTTCAAATGGGGACAGTTATCCACGTCAACATTGTTCTGGTTTTCTGTGTCAAGTGGCTCAGGTACCCTTTGGTTCCCCACTCAGTTGTGTTCATGACACGTACTGATTTTACCTTAGCTGCTTTTGTGTGTAATATATTCATAGATTTCACGAAACCACAGTGGGTTACAAATGTACACTGACGCTGAGATGCTGTAGAACAGCAGAAAAATAGATTTAAAATAAAATTAGCAGTTCTTTAAGAGCATTTGACAATGGCAGCCATCTTTAATCATGACTAATTTCTAATTGTGGAATGCAGGAAAGTTACAAACAATCACTTGGAAACACATCACATCTTCATTGGTGACAAAGGCAACTGCACAAAGGATAATCATTAGGAAATTAACAGCTGCTTCATCAGGTGTGCAGCTTAGCTGAGCTGTCAACATTTCCTGAATAACAAGAGCTCGAGCTGAGAAAACGTCAACATTTCCTGAATAACAAGAGCTCAGATGATATGAAATCTTTGCACATTGCAGACATTTCAATATCAACAGCTGTGAAAATGGAAATTCAGACCTTTCCCACATTCTGGATACAAAGCAGGTCTTGACACGTGCACATTTGATAAACGTACCTCATATTATCCACCCTCTGGGACAAATGCTGCTGTTTGCCCTCCAGTCTTGTCACCACAACTGACCACTTGTGCGGTCATACAGGTCATGACTCAAAATGTGTTACCAGTAATATATTGATTAAGCTGATGGACAGTATAAATATGATAAATCCAAGTCTCATTCTCCCCAAACGTCAAGAGAGAGGTTTCATTATCCGTTACATATGTTTGATGCTCAGCAAACATGTTCTGTACCTCCAAACAAATACTAAACCTATTGTATCTTATAGTTTGTGTTGAGTCGTTCTTGAGGCAATAACTTGATAACATTGCAGATGTAATGTGAACATTTTTTCCAAAAATCAATCCTCTGTTGGCTTCCGATCTTCCCCCTGTTTTTCACACACACACACACACACTAAGAGAGTAGGAAAGAATGAGGTCAGGCTCGACCCCCTCTTGGATGATTATTCCTAGCAGAAAATTGAGCTAAATTGCTGCATCCTCAAATCATGGCTGCACCTGGTCTCTCATGCACTGATCTGACTATGAAAGCCTGTTCAGTTGGGCAAACATAACATGCAGTGACTTTAAATTAAATACAGTTTCAGTTCATAAGAGTAACATGGGTTATTCAGGACTTTATTCATTATTTATTATTATTTGGATTCTTCTTAAGATGTGTTTGGTGTAAAACGCCATGTGTGACTTCACAGTGTGCTTCATTTCTGTTAGCGATGACAGTAATGGTGATAGGTGAAGATCACTGTCGTCATCTTTTAACCAAAAGTAATGGTTTCATCCGTAACAGCACCCAGGCTCTTGATACGTGTTTAACTGTGGTGAAATGTTGTGTCACCTTTAAATAAGAACTGGGGGGTGGTCCTCCTCCTCTATAATGTGCATCACTGAACACACAGATGTCCAGTTCCGCTGTTCCAGTTCCACAGCCCACTCATATGCAACCAGAGCCTCTGTGGGTTAGCATCATGTTGTGGGAGCTGTAGTGGAAAACTAAAAAAAAATCTGGCATTCTCAGCAAAATGAAATATTATCAGATGCAAAAGAATGTGAAAAAATGTAAAGGAAATACAAAAATCATACATGATGTAGTTTTAAAAAATATATACAAACAAACATCTTTGGATTTCTGAGATTTAGTTGAATCATATGTAGAATTTGGGTTAAGTAGTGTGTACTTTCAATGCATGACCGGATGTTTTATACTCTCTGAGTATTCAGATGTGACAAGCTTTGTGAAAACAAAGCCACTTTGTTAATTACTGCTTCTGACTGAGGTTTGCAGCATAAAATATAGTCGCCCTGAGGGATAATAAAACATAAACATTGACTGTCATTGTGAGTTTTCTGTCACATCAACTCTCTGGCATCATGTGAACACCTGAGTCTTCCAACGCCGTCTGTACGCCGTAATAACTCAACAACTGTTCGAATTTTGAGTAAATGACTCTTGAAAAATGAACTTTTTTATTGACTTCTCTGTGAGTATTCAGATGTGACGAGTCAGTGTTTCAGATCAGAATTTATGGTCAGGTTTCTTTGAGTCTATTCTGACTCAAATAACAGACTTGTATGTTGAGCAACTTTTGTTATACTATACTCTTTTTCACTCACAGACAGGAAATCACAGGCTGAAGAGGATGATCCAAAAGAAAGATCTTTTACTGGTGTTGCGCTCTGTCAAGTCTCGCCCCCAGGTCCAAACCAAACCTGGAATTTATTGAAGCTACACCTTAAATTTTTACATTTTAGCTCTGCAAATAACATTTTTATACATTGATTGACTAAAGCCCAGAGGATCTTTCAATAATTATATTTGCTATAAACTTGTGAAAGCCACACTTTCTTTATTCCTTTCTCAGAGGCCGGTTTATGTGTCTGAGTTGTAAGCCTTCAGTATTTTAACCACATCAAACATCTGTGCTGTGTTAAAAGGTTCTGTTCTGATCCCACTGCGTTTCTTTGTGGTATTAAGTTTGCTTGACTTTCAGCAAGTATAATCTTTATTCCCAAAGGTAGATCACGTTGACTTTCTGCTGCCACCTATATTATTATTTTTAAGGCACTTTCATATTCGTCTCAGGATCACAGCTTTATCAAAAAACAAACCACCATTAAAGTTCAAGGTCACTCAAGCAGGTTTTACAGGCTGCATATGAAATTAGAGTTTCCAGAATAAGAGCAGGATGTTACCAGATGGGAATGATGTTGAGAATCAGACCGGGGGGGAAAAATTCTCTGATAGAAACGTGACTTGCAGAAGTTTGAAGATGATTGGTATAGAATAGAAAAAATAGAATTTTATTTTTTTATTTTAGAATTTTTTTTCTTAAAACCTTTTGACTTTGATTTTTTTACATGTTGCACCAAAGGAGAAGAATGAGCTAAATTGCTGTACCATATTTTCTTTATCTACAAATGCACAACGGAAATGAATGGTCATTGGTAAATATCAGAGCCATTGACTACAAATCCAGAAATTATATATCTCATTTGGCTGTGACACAGCGGTACAGATGGGACAGCAGAGCGCCACACTGATCTAATCAGCTGTTTTATAGCAGGGAGTGTAATACTTCCATATAAATATCAATTTGAACCAGTGGAACCCACCAAACGGCAGCCCAACATTTGTTATACTCATCTTGCAATAACTGAGAATAACAAAACGGCCAGACATTATTCTGCACTGTACGGTGTTGCGTCACTTTAAAATGATCATGACATTTAAAATGAGACCAGACATTTCAGGACGATAGTTTCATTTGTACCGTAACGAGGCCTGTGTTGGAAGGTCATTTGAATCCAATCATTCTCAGACAAACGTTCAGTGGCCAGGTTGGCCTGAATGGTTCAGCTTTCAAATGAGAAGTCATCGTAGGTTAATACAAGCAGACACCTTAACAATTAGTATTTAGTGGAGGAGGAGAAAGGACAGTAAACCAAAGAGACAAAAACAGTGTTTTAAAGATTTAAAGAAACTAAATTCTGTTTTTTCAATGGACCACAGCAAAGCAAAGTAAAAAGGAAAGAAAATTTGTTCATTTCTTTTGTCTAGTGTTTTTTGAGCCACAACAAAATATATTTTCTTCTGTTGTTTGCAGACAGATGTATTGTCATTTGCACACAGAGGCTCCACTGAGCTGATAATCACCAAGATGATAAAGTGACATTTTCAAAATTTGAAAATTCAATGTGATAACAAAGCCACAAAAACCGGAGATGATAAGAAATTAAACTGACACAAAATTTGTCCTTTAGATTTAAAACCATATTGGTCACTTTGATTTTCCTGCACGGCTCAACAGTATTCTTGACAATGAGTCACACACATCATACAATCAAAAAGCATAATTCTATGAAACATGACTCATGTTCCAGCTTTTCTGCTCTCAGAGTATTTTCGACTTTCGTTGTTAGTGCTAAATATTAACTGTGCTGTCTAATTTGATGTCAGTGTATTTAAATAGTAGAATCCAGCATTTAAGAGATAGCCACCGCAGGTGTCAAGAATAATAATACTGAATTATATATATATTATTTTATTTTAATTTCATCTGAAAACCAAAGAAATTAGCTATCTCTGTCAGACCAGAGGATTTTGTCATGCAGTTGCAGAATGCAGAATCCATTGGCG